GTACCCGTGGCCAGCTCGTGAACTTAACAGCTCGAGACTATGGATTGACGGGTCCGTCTCATGTACATACTAACTCAGAACCTGGGGGCAGTGGTCCAGATCTGAGTCCATTAGTCGCACGATACAGAACAAGTATACCTGCAAATGGAAGGACTGGACAGTTAGGATCAGCAGGAAGCCCTACACCGATGCGCATTGCAAGCCCGAACAGTTCCATCCCCTATGCCTATAGGGATCCGCTTAGGGCGCCTAACTACAATGACCGGGCGGTGCCTTCCAGCAGTGGCTATGGCGCACCGTCTCAGCACCCCCCAGCCATTTACCACCTTTAGTCCAATCCTATAGTTCTTGGTAACTTACATTCACAACCAATGATTCCGTTTAGACTACTGTGTTTCGAATTCAGACCCTTCTTTCTCTGTAATTTAGAGTAAAGCAAAACCGCAGAAAAACCTTCATTTATATGCATCAATTTCTTTATTTTAACAAAGGGTGGTACAAGTAAAGCAGCCAAATTGACATGCCCTTAACAATTTTGACATCACTAAATATTAGTTTCTACGCCCTCTATCTTGAAAAAGGCTATCAATTCCCGCGGCCCTCCATCCTTATCGAGTACTTCTGTTTTGTACTTTCCAGTGGGATTGGGCAAAGACTCGTCCTTGGCCGCAACAACAAGCAAATATAATGTGCCTGATTCATAAAACGATGTCCGAGCCGAAATCACTGTTTCAAATACTAACTTGTTTGTGGCATTCTTGTTGTTCTCGGAAACGGCTCACTCTCCGATCTCCGTCGCGTTTAAATTGATGCCGTCTATAGGCTTCCAGGTACTGGGAACGTTGTTTGTTGTAGTAGCGGTTGCCAGAGAAACCAGCAGAGCAAGGAGAGCGAGAAAGAAGCAATGGGGACGCATTTTGTAACCCATGAGTTCGGTTCAAGAAGCAATGAGTCTTGGGAAAATTGTTATTGATGCAAGGATAATCATACAACATATGGTCAAATACTTGTGGGTATATATATTAGACAAGCATGGATATGGTGCACTGAATCGGGACAGACAGGCTAGCTAGTATAGAAAGCAATAATAACGACGAGAAATTTTTCAAAATAATTGGTATTCAAGCTGATGCTTCACGTGTTATAATATATGTGAAGAGATAAAGAATTAATACACTGTATTTTAACATTTCCAAATAACTTCAATTGTCTTTTAAGTCACTTTCCGTACCTAATATGTGTCCAAATAGAAATTATGTGAAAAAATGGCTAGATTCAATGCAAACCATTATACGAGGCTCTAATTATTCAGGCAATTAATCACATATATGAACTTTGTATATTTGACATCTCACATTCAATTTACATGCAAGAGATTTTGCAGTATGCTCAGAACATAGGCACATATATACGTCGTATGTCATTACAGAAGTGGAGAGAAACTTGAAAGAAACACTTCTTTTCACTTGTATAATAATATATGACGTACCGCTTCGTGTTCTGGACACATTAAAATATTACTTTTTACATACGTGGCCCTTATCTGTGATATTATTTTATTTGGAAAGGTACAAATTTCAATAAAAACCAAAACCCATCCTTCCAATTTGTAAGATAAACGGAATTAGGCAGCATTCAATTTATAGCTTTGCTATATCAAACCATCAGCAGTTCAGCAATAGTAAGACTGTCCTTCATCTGTATATTTGGATTTGCTTTACTGAGAACCGAAAACCTACTACGATACGTCCTCATTGCTTCCTCGCACTCCTTACTCTGCTTACTCTTGCGGCTGCCGCCGCGACGAGGGAAGTGAGTCCCCCGTGGAAGGATATTAAGGACCTCAAGGATCCATATGTGATAAGCATTGCAGAGTGGGGGGTCTCAGAATACAACAAGAATGTCACAGGCACAAACAAGTTAGTGTTTCAAAATGTGACTTGGGGGGGAAGCGCGTTTATTTCAAACACGTTTTATGGGCCGATCATATGCGGCAAAAAATTAGTCGTTAACTATCCCACCAGAAGAGTATAGACTTGGTGTATGGGACAGATTTCTAACCAGGCTATTCCGGGGCTTAAGAAAAAATGATGGCTCTGATGTTTAGTATTTCAAATTTACGGTTTAGTATTAGGGTTTGTAAGTGTTAAAAGTATGGACAATGCTAGGGAGAGTAAATTTGTAGAGAAAATTTTGTAAAATAAATGACATAGAAGTCGATAATTGAATTATGACTTAAGCGTTGATGAACATATTCATTCCTATTGGTGACATACTATTTAGTTTGTAAATTTTGTCTACAAATTTAGTCTCCCTAGCATTACCATAAAAGTATATACACTTATGATTGCAAATTTTGCCTACAAAATTAATCTCCTAGCACGGTGCTTGCGAAAAACAAAAATAAGAAGTTTCCCAGAAAGTGCAAGGCAATGCCGGAATCAAGGTGGGTGAGATCAAAGCTATGAAATAGCATTGAAAAGGACCACAGACGTCTCATCGTTAACAACACCCTCCCCGAACACTAGACTGTAGAGTAAAGAATATTGTCTTTTGATGACTTATCATTCAACCTTATCACTGCTGCAATGGCAGCATGGTTTATATACAGTTTACATACACGCATGCAATAAACAACAATAAAGGTGACAGAAACTAAAGAAAAATAAAGATGGCAGAAACCATGTGATTGTCTGGCTGGGAGTATTCCTTCTGTCGTCCAGGTTGTACAGCTAGTTAGTGGGAGTATTCCTTCTGTTGTCCAGGTTGTACAGCAGCTAGTGGGATTATTAGTGGACAGCTAGTGGGATTATTAGCTTCATCATTATTAGCTTCATCATCCCCCCGCAAGCTCATGAGCGGACGACGAACGAGCTTGGATTTTAAGAAATGAAAACGATCAGCAGATAAGCCCTTGGTGAATATGTCTGCAATCTGAAAAGTAGTAGACACATGATAGACATTTAATGACTTTGCCACTACAAGCTCACGCACAAAATGATAATCCACAGCAACATGTTTTGTTCGAGCATGGAACACGGGATTAGATGCCAATGCAATGGAGCTTGTGTTATCACACCAAATTAAAGCAGTCGAGGGCATGTTAACCGGTGCTCAATACCATTATTAATTAAAAATTGTTGAAATTCCTTACTCATAAATTCACCCCCGCCATCAGTTTGGAAAGATTTTATCTTATAAACAGTATGGATAGATAGAAGATTTTCAAGAAGCAATTTAAATTTTTGAAAATAAGAAAAAGCTTCATGTTTAAATCTCATAGGAAATATCCAAGTATAACGAGAGTAATCATCAAGAAATATTATAAAATACTTGGAACCCTTAACAGAGGCAATTGGTGAAGTCCAAACATCACAATGAATCAATTGAAGAGGACAAACTGAAACTGATGGAGACAAAGCAAAAGGTAATTTAGTGCTTTTGCCCAATGGGCAAGCAGAGCAAAAACTAGGGAACTAGAATCCTTAATAGGAATAGAGGACATAATTTTTTTAAAAATTGCAGGAGATGGATGACTGAAACGCTGATGCCACATAAATGAAGAGGTTCGTTGTCCAAATAATGCCACGTTCTTGAAAGGAAACTTTTCCACACGAAACGGATACAATCCATTCTCACTCTTGCCGTGGAAAAGCGTCTTCCCCGTGGATAGATCCTTCACAAAAAAATCAGTAGGAGTGAAAATGAAGTAGCAATGATTATCACAACAAAAGCGATGAACGCTCAATAGATTAGCAGAAGCAGAAGGACAATGCAAAACAGAATTTAAAGGAAATTGAGACACAAAACCAGAACCAATATGCTTTATAGACAAACCTGCACCATTACCAACCGCGACCTGGTCTTGGCCAGTATATTCTGTGGAAAGGCTCAAATTAGCTAAATCATTGGTGATATGGGACGATGCGCCACTGTCGGTATACCATGTAGGGAACCGTGCATTAACCACAGGAGAGGCAGCCATCATAGCATGTGATTGTGGATAGCGGCCTTCGGAAAAAGGAGACTTGAAACAATTTGCGGTAGAATGACGATGATCACCACAATAGTTACAAATATTAGAGGAAGAAGGAGCATCCGCAGCATGGTTGGGAAGATAGGAAGAGCGACGAAGACCAGCATTTGGTGTAGGAAGAAGTCCTCGATTCTGAAACGAGCCACGACCGGATCCACCATGAAACAAACCACTGTTTGAACCACCACGACGGCCAACAAAAGGATTACCAGCACTGCGACCTTGAAAAAAGCCACGACCTTGAAAACCACCACGACGGAATGAGGATGTACGACCATTTCCTCGGTGAAGTGTGGTTCCACGACCAGGATTGGGAGTGGAGCCAGAAGGGGCAAAGAGAGCTGTTGTGGTGTGATCAGGACTGAAAGTAGTGCTATAGTCGTCCATACGGCTTTCAGCGCTCAAGAGCAAAGCAACCATATCGTCAAGACTCATAGGATTTTCTCTTGCTTGAACCGAAGTAACTATACTTTCGAAAGCAGGACCAACACCATTCAAAATCAGCTCCATAAGATCATCGTCATCAACAGGTTTTCCCGCAAGAGCCAATTGATCAGCAAAGTTAGTTAATTTATCAACATAGTCTGTGATGGACATGTTACCTCTTTTAGTGGACTGCATCTGGTGCTTAAGTTGAAGAACACGGGTGCGAGATTGAGAAGCAAAACGTGTTTTCAGAGTATCCCAAGCAGCTTGGGATGTGTCACAGGTTGCGACGATGGAAAGCACATTGGGTGTCAAAGTTGAGTTAATCCAACTTAACAATTGTTGGTCCTGTCGCTGCCAAGTTACGTACTCGGGATTGAGAGTAGAAGTATTCTCAAGAAACTTGGTTGGACATGTTTTTGTACCATCAACATAGGCAACAAGATCATTACTTTTAAGTAAGGGATTAAACTGGGCAAGCCACAACATGTAATTGGTTCGATCAAGTTTGATGGAAACCAGATAGGAAATATTAGGAAGGGAGCTGGTAAGAAGAGAAGAAGAAGCAGCCATGGAAGCGGAAGAAAATTTGAGAAGAAGGGAAGGCAGAAAAAAAAAAAAAGGCAAGAAGAAAGAAAAATATGAGGATCGTCATGCTGGCGACCTTGGAAATGTCACTGTTGGGGATGATGGTAGATAACCTTTTCTTCTTTTGCTCTTTCTAACTGTTTTGTAATTGCCTGGAACACTCTTTTATGTTTTCACGCCTTGATACTTACGGGCTAATGACAGCTTAATGTGTTTCTTATCTCCTTGCTTCAGGAACTGCAACCTTCACTCTTATTGACAAGCAGGTTTGTGATTGACCTCCCCAATTATTATTTGTTTATGCTATTATTAAAACTTACGTATTCAGATAGCTCTTGAGTTTCATTTCATCTTTTATAAAGGTTACATTATTGTTTGCAGATACCTCTAACCGGACCACACTCTGTCATTGGTAGGGCAGTTGTTGTCCATGGCGACCCAAATGACCTGGGCAAGGGTAATCTTTATTGTTCTCTCACTCCTCTCTCTCTTAAGTGGTTCCATCTTATAGTACTGATTAGCTAGTCAGTGTGATGGGCGCGCCTTATCATCATTCAGTGGGTCACCCCACTTCACGTCTATCTGTGACCTGCAGTGAGCACTCTTGTACGTACGGGTAGTTTTAGCCTGCTTCTGATTCCAATTGGTATACAATAGCTTCTACATAGGTGCAAATCATTTGGGGATCGGTATTTTGGTTTTCATCATTGCTCTATCTTGTGCTCCTCATCCTTTCAAATGAGCTACAGACTAGCGGGTGACTGTCAGTTTGTTGTTCCTCAGAGTTATTTTCTATTTCCTTATAAATTTTAGTTACCATTTAGGTTTAAGCATGAACAACCTTACGGCTACATTATTTCTCTACTCACAGTGAATGCACTTGGAATCCGATATCCAATGTAATCCAATACTTGTGTTTCTGTACACAGGTGGACATGAGCTTAGCAAATCCACTGGAAATGCTGGTGGCAGGGTAGCTTGTGGTAAGCTAATTTGCTTAATCTCATCAAACCCAATGTTTTTGCTATAGAATTAAATGTCATATAATTTTGGACCATTCTTGTTGGATGATCATGGTAAGGCGCTTTCAACATCGATAGAAAACGGAATGTCTTCCCTAAAATTACAATAGATGACTATTTGCAAAATCTTGGACCGTCTCCGTCACCATTCCAGATGAGGATGGAAAACTTAAACCAAGTTGTGGTTTATATACACGGCCCCTGTTTTTGTGTTTGTCTATAGGCATCTACCTAGGTTGCGTAGTTTTTATAATGTTATTGTGGAGATCTCTGTGTTGCGTAGTTATACTGATTCGTGTCCGTCAACATGCTTCTAATTATGTTCCGGTGTGTCTACTTTTGTGCAGGTATTATCGGTCTGCAAGGATGAACTTGAGCACCAAGCGAAAGACATGGAGTTTCAGTTAAATGTATGAAGTTTCTATAAGCCTGAGAGAAATTTAGAACTCTTTTGAATAAGAAAAATACATGTCTTGTTTAGCTGACAGTGTTTGGTGTTTAAAATTCTGTCCAAACTTCATTGACTGGAAATCTTGGATGCATAAAGTGCTTATGAGTTTGATCATGTGTGTTTCTTTCGTTCTCATTCGTTGATCGTTATTTCAAGGCCTGAAACTACTTCTGGAAGTGATAAAAAAACGCTTGTTCTAAAAGCGTTCCAATAGCATTGTACGTCTTACAAAAGCAAATTTCAAATGGATCAAGGCCTGAAATTGCTCGTGGAAAAGCTAAAAACGCTTTATGACAATCAAAAGCAATTGCGAGTCATAAGAAAACTTGTAAATACGTTTTATGAGCATAAGTGTCTTTCATAAGCAAATCGCAAATGGATTGGGGAGCATGAAACTGCTTCTGAAAGAGCTATAACATTTTTTTTTGACATCAAAAAAGATTGTGAGTCATAAAAGTGCTTATAAACAAAAGTGCGTCCTACATAAGCAAATCGAAACTGCTTCTGAAAGAGCTAAAACATTTTTTTTGACAACAAAAAAGATCGTGAGTCAAAAGCACTTACAAACAAAAGTGTGTCTTCCGTAAGCAAATCACAAACGGACACGGGGTCAAATTTGAGTTTATACAGATTTGGCCCAAACAAATAGTTTTGGGCCAAAATTTGCTTAATAGCAACAACACAAACTCACGTGCGAAACGAACTTACGTTAACTGGTTTCGGTTGACGCCACTCCTCCTCCACAATTTCTAGGGTTCCATTATTAGTTTAGCAAATTACAATCGAATCCGCTCTCCGGTTTCTACTATATAATCTCGCCAAGCGATGTCGACCACCGTCGACAAAATCTCGGGCGACCTTCACATGACGCCGGAGCTACGCAAATCCTTCAACCTCCTCAAGACCCACGCCTCCAAAGTTGCCAACTTTACCCTCCAATGGCAGGACCTCGAGGAGCACTTCCGCTCCATCGACAATTCCATCCAATCCAAGCTCGACCAACTCCAAAAACAACAATCGGAAGAGGCCCATGTCGCTCCGGCTCCGCAATCGCAACCCAAAGAACCCGAATTGAATTTTAAACCCAATTCCGAAGAACCCCAATTGGGCTCCGGTGACGCCCAATTGAGTTCGAAAGAATCCCAAGTCACCGCCACCCTCCAATCCTTGAAAACCCAATTCGATTCCGTCGAAACCCAAGTCAAAACCGACGAGCCTTTGCCGGAAATGTCGACCTGCAATGGCGTCCCGATAAATGACGGCAAGGCGTTGCTGTTGTATGTGAACGAGCATTTGAAAGAGAGGGGTTTGGTGCGTGACGGTGTTGCGAATGCGCTTAAGGCTTCTGTGGATGCTGGGAAGCTAGTGCTCGAGGCAGTGAAATGGTTTTATCCATCAGAATCGAATATGGGAGGTAAGGAGCTTGACGTCACTGTTACTAGGAAAAGTTGTGCGATTTTGTTACAAGCGCTGGTGAATGTGAAACCAGTGATTAAACCCGATATCATCAGAGAGGCAATGAAGCTTGCATTGGCTTGGAAGGCAAAGGTGATAACTCAAATGTCGAACTCTTCGGAGGTTTGGGCTTTTTTTCAGCTTCTGGATGCTTTTGGGATGGGTGGTGAGTTTGACAGTGATGAGATTTTGAAGCTTTTTAGTTGCGTAGCAGATCAGAATTCTGCACCGGAGTTGTTTAGGTCCCTTGGTTTCGCCGATAAAGCCTCTGGTGAGTTTTTGGAGAGCCTTCTTTATTGTTGTTCCTATCTTTTTATGAGACATTTAATTTATAGATTGCTTTCAGTGTTGAGTACTTGTAGTTTTACTCCTATGAATTCAATGATGGGTTCGGTATGGTGGAGATTGTGTGATATTTTTCTAAACAAAAGCATACATAGTTTCAGGGAAATCTACTTAGTTTGAGTGCACCCTTACGGACAAAGTTATGTAAGTATCTGTTGATAGTTGATACAACGAATGTCACCTTGTGAGGTTGCCTTTACGGTTTTAGAAGAAATCATGGGAAGAAGGTTATGCTCTTGTTATTTTAGATGTCTTCTATTAAGTTCTGCTAGAAATTCTCCTGATATATATGTCTTGAAATAGAAAATGTTTAGTTTTTGGTTTTTGCTACCTCCTTTTTTTGTAGTCGGTTAACTCTTTTTTTTTTTTTTTTTTTTTTTTGTGACGCAGATTTCATCCAAAAGCTTATATCAGAGAATAAGCGGGTTGATGCTGTTAGATTCAGTCGTGCATTTGGACAGTTTGACAAGTTCCCCCCTGTACCCTTGCTTAAAGCACATTTAAAGTTCATCACGAAAGATGCAAGGACTAGTTCCGAGAGGGGGCAAGACAGTCTTAAAGCACAGGTATAGGTGGTGTTTCTTTTGCCTCATCAACCGTCCTTAGACTCAGAATGAACTTTTATATAGTGTTGATCATTAAATCCCCTGCAGGATGAGTCCATAGACAAAGAAATAGCTGCTCTAAGAGGCATAAAACATTGCGTTGAGAACTACAACCTTGTTGTTGAACCAGAATATTATCCCAAGACCCTCGGAAAACGCATTAGGCAGCTGAAAAGGGGGAGAAAAGAGAGGAAAGCAACTCTAAGAGCTCTTGGCCCTAAGGCTCAGCCGCAACCCCTGAGTGGAAAGAAACGTACTGCCCCAGATCAGCCAAATAAGCAGAACAGAAATAAGCATCCTCGAACAGCTCCAGCTTTAGCTGCTCAAACTGTTTCTCTCAGAGGACCAGCCACAGTACACGCTATACAACCATCTTATATTCGCCAAGAAAGCTTGTATGACAGTCGAAGTGCAGAATACTTGCTATCGTCGGCTGGAATGCCCCGACAAGCAACCACCCCGCCCAGTACTTCTTATGGCACCATTTCCACCTTGAACCCACTGCGAGCATCTCATCATCAGCAAGGAGGCTCATTCATCGGTCAAGGTGCGGAATACCCTTCTCGATACTATGATTCAGCACACTACGCTCCTGATACTATTAATAACTTATGCTCGATCATATGATTTGGTGGGTTCCTCTCCTGGTACCCGTGGCCAGCTCGTGAACTTAACAGCTCGAGACTATGGATTGACGGGTCCGTCTCATGTACATACTAACCCAGAACTTGGGGGCAGTGGTCGTGTAACTTCAGATCTGAGTCCATTAGTCGCACGATACAGAACAAGTATACCTGCAAATGGAAGGACTGGACAGTTAGGATCAGCAGGAAGCCCTACACCGATGCGCATTGCAAGCCCGAACAGTTCCATCCCTTATGCCTATAGGGATCCGCTTAGGGCGCCTAACTACAATGACCGGGCGGTGCCTTCCAGCAGTGGCTATGGCGCGCCGTCTCAGCACCCCCCAGGCATTTATCACCTTTAGTCCAATCCTATAGTTCTTGGTAACTTACATTCACAACCAATGATTCCGTTTAGACTACTGTGTTTCGAATTCAGACCCTTGTTTCTCCGTAATTTAGAGTAAAGCAAAATCGCAGAAAAACCTTCATTTATATGCATCAATTTCTTTATTTTAACAAAGGGTGGTACAAGTAAAGCAGTCAAATTGACATGCCCTTAACAATTTTGACATCACTAAATATTAGTTTCTACGCCCTCTATCTTGAAAAAGGCTATCAATTCCCGCGGCCCTCCATCCTTATCGAGTACTTCTGTTTTGTACTTTCCAGTGGGATTGGGCAAGACTCGTCCTTGGCCGCAACAACAAGCAAATATAATGTGCCTGATTCATAAAACGATGTCCGAGCCGAAATCACTGTTTCAAATACTAACTTGTTTGTGGCATTCTTGTTGTTCTCGGAAACGGCCCACTCTCCGATCTCCGTCGCGTTTAAATTGATGCCGTCTGTTGGCTTCCAGGTACCGGGAACGTTGTTTGTTGTAGTAGCGGTTGCCAGAGAAACCAGCAGAGCAAGGAGAGCGAGAAAGAAGCAATGGGGATGCATTTTGTAACCCATGAGTTCGGTTCAAGAAGCGACGAGTCTTGGGAAAATTGTTATTGATGCATGGATAATTATACAACATATGGTCAAATACTTGTGTATGTATATATTAGATAAGCATGGATATGGTGCACTGAATCGGGACAAACTGGCTAGTATAGTAAGCAATAATAACAACAAAATTTTCGAAGTAATCAGTATTCAAACGGATGCTTCACTAGTTATAATGTATGTGAAGAGATAAAGAATTAATACACTGTATTTTAACGTTTCCAAATGACTTCAATTGGCTTGAAGTCACTTTCCATACCCAATATGTGTCCAAATAGAAATATTGTGAAAATGGCTAGATTCAATGCAATTAATCACATATATGAACTTTGTATATTTGACATCTCACATTCAATTTACATGCAAGAGATTTTGCAATGTGCTCGGAATATAAGCACATACGTCATATGTCATTACAGAAGTGGAGAAAAACTTGAAAGAAACACTTCTTTTCACTTGTATAATAACATATGACATATCGCTCCGTGTTTTGAACATATTAAAAGATTACTTTTTACATACATCGCCCTTATCTGTGACATTATTTTATTTGGAAAGGTACAAATTTCAATAAAAACCAAAATCCATCCTTCCAGTTTGTAAGATAAACGGAATTAGGCAGCATTCAATTTATAGCTTTGCTATATCAAACCATCAGCAGTTCAGCAATAGTAAGACTGTCCTTCGTCTGTATATTTGGGTTTGCTTTACTGAGAACCGAAAACCTACTACGATGCGTCCTCATTGCTTCCTCGCACTCCTTACTCTGCTTACTCTTGCCGCTGCCGCCGCGACGAGGGAAGTGAGTCCCCCGTGGAAGGAAATTAAAGACCTCAAGGATCCATATCCATATGTGATAAGCATTGCAGAGTGGGGGGGTCTCAGAATACAACAAGAATGTCACAGGCACAAACAAGTTGGTGTTTCAAAATGTGACTTGGGGGGAAAGCGCGTTTATTTCAGACACGTTTTATGGGCTGATCATTGCGGCAAAAAATTAGTCGTTAACTATCCCGCCAGAAGAGTATAGACTTGGTGTATGGGACAGATTTCTAACCAGGCTATTCAGGGGCTTAAGAAAAAATGATGGCTCTGATGTTTAGTATTTCAAATTTACGGTTTAGTATTAGGGTTTGTAAGTGTTAAAAATATGGACAATGCTAGGGAGAATAAATTTGTAGAGAAAATTTTGTAAAATAAATAACATAGAAGTCGATAATTGAATTATGACGTGAGATCAAATCTATGAAATAGCATTGAAAAGGACCACAGACTTCTCATCGTTAACAACACCCTCCCCGAACACTAGACTAGAGTAAAGGTGCCTCCTCTTGATTGAGCACCTGGACATTCGGCAAACAAATCCAATGTGGAACTATTCGTATGTATTTGTTTGAAAACTCAGATGCAACATGGATATGTGCCATACCTGCAACGTGCAAACAGAATCCGTTGCAGCAAATATTGCACCAATTGCTACGAATAGGAGATTAAAATTGTTAAAACACAAATAGAATCCAAAGAAACAAATGGGACAAAGAAAGTGAAATACCAAGAAGGTGCCCCAATTCCAGAGTTCCAATTTTCAATATCTTAAAGAATTGTGTAGCACCTGAATCAAGCAAAGACAAAGTAAGTTTGCTGTTCAAATTCGAGTATAACTCATAAGTCATAAGCACCATCATGCCCGTAGGGGAAACAGCATGTGCAGAGTTACGAGCATACCTAATGATCATATGATAGTGCAGGATACTAATGTGCTGAAGTTAACGAAAAAGAATTGGGGCAGTGGTCATGTAACTTCAGATCTGATCCCATTAGTCGCAGGATACAGAACAAGTATACCTGCAAATGGAAGAACTGGACAGTTTGGATCAGCAGCAAGCCCTACACCGGTGCGCAATGCAAGCCTGAACAGTTCCATCCTTTGTGCCTATAGGGATCCGCTTGGAGCGCCTAAATACAATGACCGGTCAGTGTCTTCCAGCGGTGGCTATGTAGCCGTCTCAGCACCCCGGCCATTTTCACCTTTAGTTCAATCCAGTAGTTATTGGTAACTTATATTCACAACCAATGATTTCTGACGGTGTTGGAAACTTTTGATTTGTTATGTTTATGGACGCTTTCATTCATTGCCTTTTACCCTTTTAAGTAGATGATAAAATTATCCATTTTGATTTTGATGAGGGTAATTTTGGGATGTTTGTTGGGTGTAGATAAATAGTCATTAGATTCTTATAAAAATAAAAAATAAAGCATCCAAATTGACATACTCAACTCAACCATTGGCAAAGTGGTTGTCTAAAAAAGAAATCACAAGTGGTGCCAACGAAAGTTGGTTGAGTTGTAAATATCTCTTTTCGTTAGACCAAGGCTTAGATTCGAGCCTCGATGTCAGCAATCCCTTGGTGGACAATTTGTAAAAACAAAAAATGGGGCTAAGATCCTTCCCCCTAAACTTTTTGTCAACAAAAAAAAAGGAACGTGGATTGTTATGGTGAATAGGACCTTCCCGTTTAGACCACTGTGATCCAAATTCAAATCCTTCATTCTCCGTAATTTAGGTGAGGAGGATTCGTAAACCAAATACCAAATACCAGTAAAGAAAAACCGCAGAAAATCCTTCATTTATACGTGTCAATTTCTTTATTTTAACAAAGGATGAGACAAGTAAAGCATCCAAATTGGCATACTCAACAATTTTGAGATCACTAAATATTATTTTCTACGGCCTCTATCTTAAAAAAGGCTATCAATTCCCGCGGCGCTCCATCCCTGTCGTGTACTGAAGCTCTGTAATTTCCGGTGGGATTAGGCAAAGACTCGTCCTTAGCCGCAACAACAAGCAAATATAAGGTGCCTGATACAAATGTTATCTCAGACGAAATCAGTTTTTCAAAAACTAAATTGTTTGTGGCGTTCTTGTTGTACTCAGAAACGGCCCACTCTCCGATCTCTGTCGCGTTTAAATCGATGCCGTCTATAGGGTTCCAGGAACCGGGAACGTTGTTTGTTGTAGTGGCGGTTACCAGAGAAACCAGTAGAGCAAAGAGTGCGAGGAAGAAGCAATGAGGATGCATTTTGTAAACAATGAGTTCTGTTCAAGGAGCAATAAGACTCGAGACAATTCTTATTGGTGCATGGAGAATTGTACAACATAGCGTCAAATACTTGTTTATATATTAGATAAGCATGGATATTGTGCACTGAATCGAGACAGACTAGCTGGTATAGAAAGTAATAATTGTCAAGATTGATAAGCTTGCGAAATTTTTCAAAATGATCGGTATTTCTTCCGTGTCATAAAATAGATATGCAGAAATACAAAAAATTATATTATTTTTAAAATGTAAAATTTGAGCAGTTCAATGTAATTATTTTAAAAATTAATACATTGTATTTTAACGCTTCCAAATTACTTAAATTGACTTTAAGTCACTTCTCCATACTCAATATGTGTCCAAATAAAAATTTTGTGCAAAACATGACTAGATTCAATGCAAAACATTACACGATGCTCTAATTATTCAGGTTATTTTATTTTATTTGGAAAAGTAAAGATTTTAATAAAACCAAAACCAATCATTTCCAATTTGTAAGATGAACGGAATCAGGAAGCAATGCATTCAATGTATAGCTTTGCTAAGACTATCCTTGATATATTTCAAAGGAAAAAAACCAACAAAATATCTATAAAATTAAACAAATAAAACGTTAAATTGTGGGTGAAAAAAATGATGGTACTTGTAACAAAAAAATGATGGCGCCCTCCTCCTCCGTGTTGGTTTAAAGTTAACGTTGATGAAGCGTTCAACGCCACGACAAATACTGGGGTTATCGGGATTGTATTCCACGATGAAGCCGGTAGCGCTAGAGGTTTCGCTCGCAAAATATCTCTACGTCACCTCCCCAAAAATTGTTGAGGTCCTAGCAGCTCGTGACTGAGTTTTCCTAGCCTTGGAGCGGAACTGGCAGCAGATTTTTCTGGAGTTGATGCTCTGCAAGTTACTGAAGCACTGGACAGTGTGCACATGGGCGATCCTCTGGCTTCGATTTAATTATTGAAGATATTAAAGCTTGTCTCACTGATTTTGCGATTTCAAAACTGTCATGTTCGTAAAACCTCCAATGCGGCGGCCCATAGATTGGCCAAGTTGGTCTTAATTTCTAGTTATTCAAGTTGTTGGTTTGATGAGGACATTATTATTAGTTCATTATGAGGTTAAGCTCATCCACTCTCCTTTAGTATAAATAATGTTGTTTGTTAAAAAAAGAAAAAAAAAAAAGTGAGCTCCATAAATAATCCAGAATGTCCTCCTTAATTGTAATTCCCCATGATGATGAATAAAATTGTTATGTTGTTTCTCTAAAAAAAAAACGATAGTATTTGTAACAAAAGAACGGTGATATTGTAAACGTACCAACACTCCAAACTATATTAATATACTGATGAGTGAATTTTATATTATATATTTAATCCTATTCTTAGTATATTTTGGTTAATATTTTGAAAGAATTTTGATACTTTGAGTTGTATTTGTGATATAGGACTTTCGACTTCCTTTAGAGCAAAACATGACCAAATGGACGAATTTTTGAGTAATTCCAGTTGGAGGACGTTCGTGAGTCACTTGGGTTGATCGTATCAAAATATCAGATTTTTTCTACCAAACGATGATTTTCTGACGATAGAATACATGAGCAGTGCGCGGTGCTGGAAAGTGACCTTTTTTTGCTTGAATTGCATTTTTAAAGCCCAAGATGACCTCGAATGGGTTTGCGGCCTTCTGGAGATGTGTTCAGAGTGTCCCGATCTTCAAAACAAACTATCTTGTGCCGGATTTGGAGGAGATTTGAGGCAAAAACGTGGCTGGACATTTTATGTGCAGTTTATCCTAACTTAATTAGGACTTTATGTTTTAATATAGGGGTGTGATATCCACACACCCCATTTTACTTCTCACACACCTTTTTAATTTTCGGCCGTCGGATCGGATGAATTGAAGAAGATCAACGAACAGAAATCATCCAGAGGTGTGTGAGAAGTAAAATGGGGTGTGTGGATAGCACACCCCTTAATATATTTTATTATTAGTTAGCTTCCTAGTGGAAATAAGAGACTTGGTTCTCAGGGATTGTGCCGTTGGCTTTTAGGGATATATTTAAGGTTTTAGTCAGCCCTAGTTTGGGCTACGCTTTCTTTTATACAACTTTGAAGACAGAGAATAATTGCTAGGGTTCTTGGAGATTTTCTACTTTAAGGTGTTTTCATTCCTTTTCTTCATAATAATATTTTCTTTGATTTTTATTATGAGCATGCGTAACTAATTCCTTTGCTAGGGCGAGGCCATGAGCCTTAGCATAAATATGTAATTTTATTAACTTACTTATGAATGGATGCATGCTTGCTTTGAATTATTAATCACTGCGATTAAAACTTTCTATATATTTTAATGATTGATCACCATTAGGAAATTTAGATAAGTAATTTGATGCAATTTTTGTTGGAACATCACCCTGAAATTGAGGAAGGCTTCTTGTGATTAGTAATTGTAAGTTTATTTAAGGCGAACATCACGCTCTTAAGGGTTGCATGGTTTTTCAGAGGGTTTTCACAAAGCTTAATGAGGCTTGCATGTTTATATTTGATCTAAACATCACAGACGGATTGCATGTTAGATATTAGTTTTCGCTTGAACATCACAAGGAAAATATGCATTAGGAAAACCTAACCTTCAAAGCATGTATGTGGAAATTCATAAGTAATTGATAGAATTGCATAGGATTGTGATGGTGATGGCTAAACCCTAGATTTCTCTAAATTGTTAATTTTAAAAATGTTTTTCTTCTTTGCTGCCATTATTTACAACTTTCAGATTTCTTTTATTGTTAATTTAATCTATTTAAATTCATAAATCTCAAATCTTTGATAAAATATGTTTTAATAGTCAATTCAGAGTTAGTTTAAACACAAATTATTCAAACAATCTTTGGGGACAATGACCTTGCATGAGCATTTATACTACAATTACCTTGTATTCTTACAAGTATTTTCAGTGATTTTAACCCTATTTGCGCAGGTACTAAAAATCCTATCATATACTGTCTTTTTTTGTTTTTTGAGCAAACAATAGTATCTACACAAAGGAGAAGTGGGGGAGTGGGCTAAGCCTTACAATAGGCTTGCCATAATAATGTGGTTCAACTTTGCCTTTGACAATAATCGAACATAAGACTTCTCACTTACAAATGAAGAGGAATATCACTAGACCGTAGTACTAAGTAGAACAAGCGACTTGAATTGGCTTTAATCTTCTGTACCCACTTTTCCATACTTAATATTTGTGTCTGAATAGAATTATTGTGAAGAAAAAAAATGACTAGATTTAATGCAAACCGTTACGCGATGCTCCAAAATTTAATTCAATGCAGACCGTTACGCGATGCTCCAAAATTTAATTTAATGCAAACCGTTACATGATGCTCTATTTATTTGGAAAATATATATTTTATTAAAACCAAAATCCATCCTTTCCAATTTTTAAAAGATACATGGAATCGGGCAGCTTTCGATGTATAGCTTTGCTATATAAAACCATAAGCACCAGAAAGAAGATCTGTACATTTCGATTTGCTTTACTGAGAACCGAAAACCTACTACGATGCGTCCTCATTGCTTCCTCGCACTCCTTACTCTGCTTACTCTTCTTGCCGCGGTGCCCGCAACGAGGAAAGTGAGTGCCCCGTGGAAGGAAATTAAAGACCTCAAGGATCCATATGTGATAAGCATCGGAGAGTGGGGGGTCTCAGAATACAACAAGAATGTCACAGGCACAAACAAGTTAGTGTTTCAAAGTGTGACTTGGGGGGTAAGCGCATTTATTTCAGGCACGTTTTATGAACTGGTCATTGCAGCAAAAAATCAGTCGTTAACTATCCCGCTAGAAGAGTATAAACTCGGTGTATGGGACCGGTTTCTAACCAGGCTGTTCATGCGCTTAATAAAAGATGATGGCAAATTTGTTTAGTATTTCAAAGTTAGGGTTTAGTGTCTGTTAATTTCAATAACTCTCGCCTTTGGTTTATAATAAAGAGACTGTTCCGAATGCAGAATAAAAGTTCGCCCATATTTTGTTGTGCTTTATATTTTATTTGTGCATACATAAAGACATCTTTACTACAAAAACAATTCATATGTGTTCTTCATGCCTTGCACGTGCAAAAGTCCTCTTTTACATCATGCACGTTATGCTCGACATACAGAGTTTTATTAATCATCGGCGCTACGTGCCCCTAAAATCTTTTAAATTAATATACGAAGTTTATTTGTAATCTTGCTTGAAGTCCCTCTATCTTTTACTTTTGATTATATTTCTCTATTGATTTCTTCTTTTATTTTCTACTGGTAGCATTTTTTTCTCATTGTTTTCCTCTCACATTATATTCTACACGTAAAAGCATAATTAAAATCATTAAAACAATGGTAGAACGCCAGTCATAGGTCTCTTGTGCCTATTAAAACTAACAATGATACAAACCAAATCAAATAGTGTGTTAAGAAAAGAAAAAACCACCCCAATTGAATACATTGAACAACAAAATTACATGAAAAGCTAGCATATAAAAAATAATGAAAAATAATGAAAATGGCTTCAAAACATTGAATTTTAACAACAACAAAAAAAATCATCTAATAACTTTATTTAATGATAAGAACAAGAGGAAAAAAAACACTTATCAAACACGTGTGCAGTCTCTTTTGCTGTTGCATCTTCTAGCTGCTTCTTTTTCCAGTACTCATCAACTGGGGTCCAAAAATTGCCTTGCCTGAAGCAACTCCAATCATGGCTGCTCCAATATCTATTTTACAGCACACACCTCTATATATTTGTACTATATATAGACACACACACACACACCCTATTACATACTATAGATTATGGACATATGAAGCACTTAAGAGTACCTTGTGCAACTTTATTTACCAAGCCACTACCTTTTATACCTATAATTTTGATTTAAATGATGCACCATTGAGAGGAATGCAATGTTCCCAATAATTTCCATCCACGAAACTGTT